AGCTCAGGGCTGATCTTCCTCACCAAAAAAAAAACAAAAAACAAAAAAAAACCACGATGAGATTCCATTTTATTCCCTGGATTGGCCAAACTGATGATACCAAATGTCGGTGACCTCGGGCCAAATTGGGCCAGCCGATGCTTTTGCAAATAAAGTTTTATCGGAACACAGACATGTTCATTTGTTTATGTATTGCCTAGGGCTGCTTTCCAGCTACAACAGCAGAATTGAATAGTTGTGACAAAGACCATATGGCTTGCAAAGCAGAAAATATTTGCTATCTGACTCTATAGAAAAAATTTCCCAGCCCCTGATGTAAACTAGCAAGAACTCTTATACCCACTTTGAAGAGCAATTTGGCAATATCTAGTAGATCAAAGGTATGCATACTCTTGAATCTGCAATTCCACTTCTAGGTATTTACCCTAGAGAAACTCTAAGTACCATAATCTCCACTGCATCACTGTTTATAATGGAAAATAGTTGGAAACAACTCAGGTGCCCTCAGCAGGAAAATGGATACATATATTCTGGGCTATTTAAACAACAGAATTCCATAGAGCAGTGAGAATGAATGACTTAGAGTACATGCAACATGATGGTGAACCCTGCAAACAAAGTAGAGTGAAAAAGGAAGTTGCAGAAGAATACAGACGTATAAATCCATTAGTATAAAAGTCAAAAACGCTCTACCCCAATACCCTATTGAATTAGTTAGGCTATAGCTTTAGCTTCCTGAAACAGAGTCCAAAATAACAATGGCTTAAACGAGATGGTCTGTCTCTCCCTCATGAAGCAGTCCGTAAGAGGCGGTCAGGGTCTGGGATGGCGGTTCTGCGCTGTCATACTGTCCAGGGATCCAGGCTCCTTCTAGCTTGTCGCCCCATGTCTGCAAGGCCCAAGATGGCTTCCTACCATCACTTCTATGTTCCAAGCAGCAGGATGAAGGAAGGGGGTGAAAGGGGCAGACCCCCTCCTTTTAAGGATCTACCTAGAAGTTGCACCTGTAATTTCTGCCCACTCCTCATTGGTTGGAACTTAGTCACATGGCCACCCCTAGCTGCAAGGGAGGTTGGGAAGTGTATTATTTATTCTAGGCAGCCACATGTGCAGGCAAAATTTGGAAGGCGGAACAAATGAATATTAAGAGACAAACAGTAGTCTTTCCCATAATTGTTTAGGGATATATCCATATGTGGTAAATCTTTAAAGAAAAGTAATGAATTGATAAAATCTGGACAGCGATGATCCCAGGATGGCTATGAAGAGGGGAGGAAGGTGAAATTGTGGAGGGACCAAAGGGAGTATCTAAGTGTTTGCTAATATTCTGTCTTAAAGCCAAAGGGCAGGCTTATGGGTATTTATTGTTATTTGTTAAAACAGACATTTAAGTATCATATCCTATCTTGTGTGGATAATATTTCATAAAAATTACATAATTAATAAAAAGCAAGTTATAGAGTGTACATATGATTTATATAAAAATGAATGAATGGCATTTATTATTTTGGCTTTGAATTTAATTACTCTTTACCTGGCATTTCCTCATCTTCCTCTGGTGCCTGGGGGTTGAGGGGTGGGACAGAGCCTTACTAGTGGCTGCACTGCCTAGAGCTGAGGAATCAGCCTCTGCTCTAAGACATAAGGTCCTTCATGTGCCTACAAACATGGTTCCCCCTATATTTTTTCCCAGTGGCCTTTAATTCTTCCTGTGCACAGTTCTAGCCGGCTTGGAATTACTTGCTTCTTCCTGAGAAGGCCCTTCCCAGGCCTCCTGTCTCTGAGCATCCATTCAGCAGACATACAGTGAGCATCTGCCAGGTACTAAGAATTCACAGATGTATCAGGGCCCTTGGTTGTTCTCTCCCCTCCTCAAAGCCCTTTCCATCCTCCATTTCCATTTGTCCCATTCCCATTTGTCTCTCAAGGCCCAGTCTACAAGCCACTTCCTTTTTGAAGCCCTCCTAGATTTCGGTCCTAGGGTGTAACTGCTAAAATGAACCCTCCAAACCCAGTTCTCCAGAAGGAGCAGTGTGGCCCTTTCTCTCCTGTACTCCAATGCCCTTCCGGATGGCGGCCCTATAGTTGGGAGTCCCTGGTCTTCCAGCTCCTGCAAAGCGGGCCTCAGGAGTCCAGCACCCAGAGAGACCAGCGTGGCGCTCCAGACAGGTGATCGGCCCCCCGCCCCCGGCCCCGCCCCCGGCCCCGCCCCGCAGGTCCAGGCCCCTCCCCCCCGACCGGGCCCCGCCCCACCTTTATTCTTTGGGGGGAAAAAAAAAGGAGGAGGATTGGC